CTTTCGTTTTTCCTCACAATTCCTTCATTCATTCCTCTCTCTCTCTCTCTCTCTCTCTCTCTCTCTCTTGTTATCTTTTTCTACTTTCATTTTCATGCTCCTAGCTGTAACTCTCTCTCTTCACTCCTTTTGTTATCTTTTTCCACTTTCCTTTTCATGCTCCTAGCTGTAACAACCCCGACCTCTAGTTAACATTAATTCATGATTAATGATGGCTAAACAGTAATTAAGGAGAAATTCAGAATTAAATTGCATGAGTGCCGCATTATAGTAGTTAACAGTAATTAAGGAGAAATTCAGAATTAAATTGCATGAGTGCCGCATTATAGTAGTTATACCTGTTTAACGTAGAAAGATCTGTTTGTGTTTCGGTTTGCGAATTGAAGGCCTTATCGGCATCTGATTTTGAAACTGATTTGATTTATGTGTTATTTGAAATTTTTAGAATTTTATGGTAAGTTCAATTAAAATTCGATTTGGAACGATTAAATTAGATTAATTTAATGGCTTTTTATGGTAAGTTCAATTAAAATTCGATTTGGAACGATTAAATTAGATTAATTTAATGGCTTGTTTGATTAGTTTTAATTATCTACCATTAGTTGAGCCTATATAAGGCCTTACACTACCTAGACTCATCCTTTTGTTCATCATTTTGAGGCAAAAACGTGAGAAGGGCTTGGAGATTTGAACTCAACAAGGAATTGCTAGGAAATTTGAACATCTAGCTCAAGAATTTGGCATCTAGGACCCAATTGAGCATCTAAGGTAAGAAGCCAAGTCTCTAGTTTTAAATTGAGTTAATTGTTTATGAATTCAAGTGAATTAAGCTATGAGATATAAGAACTAAGCTTAAGAAGTGGAGAGGAAGATCATTTCATGCATGAATGTACATTTCAAAACAATTGGAGCATGTTTCCTACGAAATTCTCTCATGCATGTCATAAATTGAGTTTAATTATAGGAATTCATCATGTTTTATACCCTCTCATTCCATTTGATCATGAATTGGAGACTTGAAGCTCAAATCATTTCATGCATGTTATGTTTTTGAAATATTCATGAGTTTTAAGTTGAATTTTACATAATTGACAAGTCTTTGGGCTATGATTTCTTGAAATGATTTTTAAAGCATGTTGTTTAATGAGTTTCCAAATGTTTTCCAGAATTTTGGCCCAAAATGTTGAGTTTTGAAGTGTTTGATTTGGGTTTGGAACTTGGAGATCAAATTTGAAAATTCTAGAATTTGCATCTCCGCTTGAGCGTGGGAGTTCACGCTCGAGCGTCCACTTTGAACGCGTGCATTTCCGCTCAAGCGACCTGAAGTCCACTCGAGCGTGAAATGCATGTACCCAGAAGTTCATATGTCTCACGCTTGAGCGATAGAAGTCACGCTCGAGCGAGGATCTGAGTTTCACGCTCGAGTGGGGATCGGGCGTCCGTCAAGTGTGAAATTTGAGCAGCCAGTACTTTCGTCAAGTTTACAGACCGCTCGAGCAGGGAAAGTTACGCTCGAGCGGGCCCTCTCATTTTGCATGTCCGCTCGAGTGGGAAAACCACGCTCGAGTGAGAACCCCATTTTCAGCAAATTTTGAAACATGTTTTCAAGTGCATTTTTGCATCCTCATTCCATCCTAGGCATTCCTCGGCCATGGTTAAGACAATGTAATGAGGTTAATGAAGTAGAAACACACCAAGACAAGTAGGGGATTAAGTTAACATTTCCGGGTGTGTAATTCAGTATATGTACGTTCTGTAATTGTGTAGGTCATGCCACAAGGAAGCTGAGTTTGCCTACTCTGTTTATCTGCTTGAAACACCTGCTATCTGTGAGTAATAACGTAGTAAAGTTATATTCGATATGAAATACTTTCTGAATATTGTGATATGATATGAACTGCTTGAAATGATAGAAAGGAATGTATTGTAATTTCATGAATGATGATCCACTTTTTGAAGCAAAATTGTGGTATCCTTAGCAGAGGCCCTTGCCCAGGGGACATAATACTGTGGCTTATGGTCATGAGGCCCTCGCCCGGGGGAAATAATACCATGGCCTAGGCCCTTGCCTGGGGAAACAATACTATGGCCGATGTATGAGATATGATACCGGTACCGGAGGTTCCAATTCGGAACTTGTTATGTTTGACCAAAGAGATGTGTTTAATGCTAACGGATACACCACCCATGATATGGCTATGTTTATGACTCTCTTACTGATAGGAATGTTTATGCTTCTATTCTATGAAAGAATTGAAAGTTGTTTTGAGTGGACATCATTCATTCAAACCATTTACTCTATTATTATTCACTGAGCTTCGCTCACTATTTATATTATGTATGTAGGTGAGCAGGTACGTGACCAAGCCTACGGCCTATGTCTCAGTTTTTGTCAGCCAACCAATGTGCCTCCCGAGGAGGTTCCGAATGAAGTCAAGCTTAATTGTTGCTTTTGTATTTACACTAGGCTTTGTCCACGCTATGTTTTGTATTTGGACAAGCTTTCTGATAACATGTACATGGAGTGATGTGTAAATACTTTGTTTTTGTCGTCACTCACAGGTTTATAAAAAGTTTTAGGTTATCTGTTCCATGTATGTCTTCACAGCTCAATGGACGCTGTATATTTTGTGTATTTGCTTCCGCAGCCCCTAATTATATATACCGAATGATAAGAGGCTTTTGGTAATCCAAGGATTACTAGCCGGTTACGATGCTAAACCTATAGGGGCAGGTACGAGTCGTGACACTAGCCTACACGAGTGGCCTCTCTACTTTTTCAGATTGTCTGTGTCTTTGGCTTTTTACATATTCCATAGGCGAAATTGAAGGTAACTATCTAAAATTTAGAGGTAAACCTATTACATGTTTCACACACACACACACACATACACACACACACACACTCACTATCTCTCTCTCTCTCACTCTTTCTCTCTCTCTCATTTTCACTTTCACTTTCACTTTTACTTTCATCATAATAATTTTAATGATAATTTTTGTGTTTATGTTCCTGATGAAATGACTGAATAAAATAAGTTTTTTGGTAGGCTTCATTTTGTTGTTTTGTGCCAAAAAAATTCATTTTGTTTGATGAAATGCAACTCCATCCAGTGTAGGGTGCAAATATGTAGCGTGTAAGGTGTAACTCTATCCTATGTGGAGTGTTTAACTTTAATCAAACCATTTAATTTAAACTTCCAAATTTCTTTATTGTAATGTTTATCGTAATGTTTGTGGGTGTTGTTTTTAAGTTAATGCCAAGGTGTGATGTATATGCACATGGTGCAAGTGCATTTCATCAAACACCTTTTGCGAGCTTTTCAACAAACTTGCACCCTGTTGGTGGCCATCCCATGTGAAAGGGGTTATCCTTATTTCTTCTTCTAGATAGTCCAACAATGAAGGCTGGCTCAAGTCAAGGAGCAGGTGATTAGCTCCACCAAAAATGAAGAAAGAATAAGCTTCCTCTTGCCATTTTCTAACTTCCACCTGGTGGAAGTCTTGGTGGGTTTGTCCTTCTCTCTTTCTCATCCATGTGTATAAATAGAGAAGAGAAGTAAAGAGCAGTAGGCAAGCAGTGAGTGAGAAAAGAGTAGTGTATACTCTGTTGTGGTATTAGAAATTTGTGAGAGAGAACTGTGAGTTGAGTGAGAGTTTTATCTCCTCATCTGTTTTGTATTTTGCTCCATTTTAGTGAAAAATCTCATTTCTGTCTGTGGATGTAGGCATTGGGCCGAACCACGTAAATATTGTGTTCTCTGTGTGTGAGAGATAATTTTCTAGGTGTATTTGATCCTAACAAAGTGGTATCAGAGCCGGTTTTGTGCGTTTTCAAAAAAACATAGTGTTTTTTCGAAAATTGCCTCAAAGTGGTCGAAATCCACTTTTGATCACATAATCTTGAAGCTCTCGACGAGACGAGCACAGAGGTGAAAACTGCATAAAAAATGGATGTTGGAGTATGCTGAACGCGCCTCTAACGCTGTTCCCACGCATCGGAGACTGTTTGCAGGAATTTCACGCGCAGAACCAAGGAAGAAGATGACCCTTCTATTTTTAAGTAATAAATATCTATTTGCGATAATACAAGATACAAGTGTTGTGTTGGCATGGTGGTTAAAGCCCAATCCTTCGAGGTCAAGGGTTCAAAACTCTTTGGCAACAAAACAAAAATTTATTTTTTGTAAAATCCACTTGAGCCAAACCGAAACTGAGCCACCCGAGACGGAGCCATTGACTAGGCCAACCGGGGTTGATCGAGCCAAGCCGTTGATTAGGCCACCAGCTACGTTGACCTGAGCTGAGTTGACCAAGCTGAGCCACCAAACTGATCCGCTGACGACACGTTGACGTCAGCCTATCCAGAGGAATTATCTGGTGCTTCTCAGGCGCACTAGATTCTGCGGATCTAAACCGTCCAACCTCTTTGAGCTTGATTTGAGCCATTCTAAGTCCGTTTTTGACGATTCAATAGTGCTTTCCAACTATTTAGAATATTTCGGACACATCCATATGGTCAGATTTTGCAAATCAGCTTTCAAAAATTTACAGTCTTTATTTTGGCAATCCGAAGTGCTTTTCCGGTTAATTTGACCAGTCCGGACTCCACATCGAAGCTTGTTTTCAGACAGAGATCACTTTCTGTCTAATGGAGGAATCAACATCGACTTTGGGATCCATGATCAAGCTGAATGCTTCCAATTATGCCATTTGGAAGCCCAGAATGGAGGATGTCCTATATTGCCGAGATCTATTTCATCCCATTGAGCTTAATGGAGTTAAACCAGCAACGGAAACTGACGAAGACTAGAAGCGGAAGAACCGAAAGACCATTGGCCAGATCAGACAATGGATCGATCACAGTGTCTTCCACCATGTTGCCCAGGAGACTGATGCCTATGCTCTCTGGATGAAGTTAGAAGGCATGTAGTAGTTAAAGACTGCTCGGAACAAAGCCCTCCTGATGTGAACTTGTGAATTTGGTGGTAACTGTCAAAATGGAGTTAGATGATGAGATGCAGGCCCTATTGCTGCTCAGTTCTTTGCCAGACAATTGGGAGACATTGGTGGTGTCCCTTAGCAACTCTGCACCCGAAAGAAAGCTAACCATGGAAATGGTCACAGACGCCTTATTCAACAAGGCAGCAAGGAAGAGAGAGATGGGAGGAGAGCAGTCCCAAGCCCTTGTCACAGAAAGTAAAGGTAGAGATAGAGAAAGGGGCAGAGGTAGAGAAAGAAGTAAAAGCAGAGGGCGTTCACAGTCTAGACAGGGCAACACGAGGAGGTGCTGTAATCAAGAGGATCACATAATAAGTGATTGCCCTAGAAAAAAAGCAGACAGGCAAGCCAAAGAGAAGGCCAAGGGACACGGAGGTCCCTCAACTGCAGTAGTTGCAGTGAATTCCTCTAATGATGAAGATGTAATGCTTACAGTCTCGTCAGAGTTGGAGACACTGGATTTTGGATTTAGGGTGTACGTTCCACATATGTGCGGATATGAAGCTTTTCTCCATTTACCGAAGAGTTAGTGGTAGCATTATCCAAATGGCCAACAACACAGTGAACAGAGTTGTCGGCATAGGGACAGTGCAGTTCCTTGCTAAGGATGGAAGAAAAGTGGTTTTATCTGAGGTCTGACATGTGCCAGGAGTACGGAAGAATCTAATCTCCCTGAGTATGCTAGATCTAAAAGGAAATTATTTCTCATCTAGTGGCGGGGTTCTTTATGTACACAGAGGCGATAGAGAAATGTTGCAAGGCAAGTTGTGCAACAAATTGTATAGACTGGAAAGAGAAGTTTTGACAAAGATGAGTGTTGTCAAACGCCAATCGAAGGGTACAAAGGAAGAACATATGCAACCAGAGCGTATGACTAAGCAAGGCTTTTATTAGGAATGGTGAAAAAGGTGTACGGGAACGCAAGGAGGCAGTTCGAAGGTGCACAGATCTGAGCCAGTGAAGCCAATCTTAAAAGAAGTTCAGAGCAAAGAAACCAAGTCGACAGAGACTGTGCCAGTGAAGAAGAGAGTTTCTTTTACTCCCGTGTTAGAGACATTTTGCAACCTCTCAAAAGATGGATGGAAGGGAGGGATGCAATCTCGAGTCGCAAAGTGAGCTTTACACGGCACCCCAGTAAGGGGGTACGAGCATTATGCACGGAGTTGCATAGTGGTAGCTTGTACAGACCGGTGGAAGTTGTCTTGGCAGAAGGGCTAACTGTCAAACATCAGAACGGATGTACAAGTGAGACAGAACCGAATATCAGGGATTGCAGCACGAACAATGGGCATATGAGATCATTGAGAACTTGTTCTGAAGTGTAGAAAGCAAAGGCTAGTTGTTCAGAAATAAGCTTCGAGCAATGAAAATTGAGGATGTTGATGTGTCAAACTCTGAAGTTTTCTAGTTGCTCCCGTGTTCATCATGCAAGGAGTTGCACAACAATGCAAGGTATCCCGAGCAGGGGGTGCAAGGCATCCAATCAAGGGGTGCTGGATACCTTGGCAGCAGGTTTTGTTGCTGATCACCTCACATGGGTTGAAGGGTTAATTGTTGGTGGTCACCTCATGTAAAAGGGGTTATCCTTATTTTTTCTTCTAGATAGTCCAACAATGAAGGTTGGCTCAAGTCAAGGAGCAGGTGATTAGCTTCACCAAAAATGAAGAAAAAATGAGCTTCCTCTTGCCATTTATGACTTCCACGTGGTGGAAGTCTTGGTGGGCTTGTCCTTCTCTCTTTCTCATCATTGTGTATGAATAGAGAAGAGAAGTAAAGAGCAGAAGGCAAGCAGTGAGTGAGAAAAGAGTAATGTATACTCTGTTTGTGGTATCAAAAATTTGAGAGAGAGAGCTGTGAGTTGAGTAAGAGTTTTATCTCCTCTTCTGTTTTGTATTTTGCTCCATTTTAGTGAAAAATCTCATTTTTGTCCGTGGATGTAGGTATTGGGCTGAACCACGTAAATATTGTGTTCTCTGTGTGTGTGAGATAATTTTCTAGATGTGTTTGATCCTAACACACCCTTGAGCAAAAAAGGTGTTTGATTAAGTTGTTCATAAAACACTTTTTGTAGTGCAAGTACATTTCATCAAACAAAAAACACATGTTTGCGAGTCTGTCAACAAAATGACCAAAAGAATCATATTAAAAGTTGGTGAAATTCCATTTCAGTGTAATTTAAAAAAAATATTTGATTATTAATGACAAACTTTACAACATTAAAAAATAATTTTATAAAGTTTTCCATGTTTTTGAATTTATTATTATTATTTTTTGACTTTACATCTTAAGTGTTATTTCCCCTTAAAATTTTATACCCGAAAGAAAGTACTATGAAGTCAAATTATTTTTTTTGATTGGCACTGGCGTGTCCGAATCAAAACTTGACTAATCTCCAAGAATGCATAGGCCCTCGACAAAGAGTTTCTTGTAAGTGCACCACGGTTAATTCAAGGGTTTTTTCCTAATTCAATGGACTCAAGGAATTGTTAGCACCTAAGAAGTTTTAATCTCTGAACCTTGGAAAGAGCACGCCCCCAAGACCCAAGTCCTTACCATCAGTCTAACCCCTTGGGGTTGCTATTAAGTCATATTTATTATCCAAACTCATTTGATGCTATAACAAGATGTCAAACAACTGAAATAGAAAATCAAGACCCAAAGCCAAAAATGCAGCATAGACAATATCATGGAATCATCAAGTAAAGCTTGGATTAGAAATGAATATTCCAGACCTATACATAATGAGATTTTAATGTTAACAAGGATAGCCGACCGCTGAAATGTTAACTTATTGAACATAAAAATTGTAACAATTACCACCTTAAGAAGAAATGGATAATGTAAATAACCTGGACATTTGGTCATTGAAACCCACATCTTTGGTAAAGCCTTCAACATACAGATTTGTATCAATTTTTATAAAATTACATTAACTGCTCCTCAAACAACCCACTACAGTTCCACATAAAACAAATTAAAAATCATATGAATTTGTTATTTTCTTATCCTTCTTGTCAGATTTAGTTTTTAATCCAAAGCTAGCAGACCAATATTTATAAGCTAAATTTGTTATGTGTTGTGTGCAAACTATCTTAATTAGCAAATCAAGTAGCTAATTTAGTCATTCCCTAAAAATAAAACTCCATATGTGATTCCATCAGCAAATTGAAATTTCTTGGAATGAATCCCAGTTTAAACAAACTTCAAACTTTAGGTAAGCAACAATTTATTCTAGGATAAATTATCAATAGGCCCTAATAGTTGGACTTAATTCCCATCAAGTTTCATTGAAAATAAGTCATAGTAAAATTATTGCTAAAAATAATTTTTTATAACCATTTTTTACATATGTCGCTAAAAATTGACAAAAAAATCTACAAGAAACATATAGAAAGATATATCATATCAATAAAGGAATGTGGATATTTCTCTTCAAATAAACAAAGAATCAATGAAATCTCCAGATGAAATCTGATATGTTGCATGCATGAAATAGTCGACAGGCATTATAAAACATTCGAATAAGTGAAAGAGAATTTACCTTGGTCTATATGGAATCTTCACATATAATATGCTCATTCCTTTTTGCACTTCACTCACTCATGGTTAACGAGTAGATTCCATGTATTTATAGATCGATATCTGGAATGTGTGCTATCTTATACCAATCCTCCTCATTTCCCTTTTGACATCGCCTTGCCAATTTAGGACTGCATCCATAAATGCTCGAAGTTTGGAGTTTGGTTAGGCTTTGAAAGCTATGAAGCAATAATGGAATCTTGGGGCAGTCCCAAATGCATAATGATTGAAGAGACGTAAGGAATCTAGAAGCAAGCACAATACTTGTTGTATCCAACAATTTAAGAAATAAAATAGTTTGTTCTTCTGAATATATTCTTCAAATATATCATTGGGATTCCATTCCCATATATCTCATTAGTGGATTTAATTTTCCATCACTTCTTCTTCTACTTTTTTTTTTCACTCCTAAATAGGCATGTCACTATTTCCAATTGTGGTGAAACACGGTTCCGCTGCATCAATTTTGATAGAGTAAATTGAATGATTTAAACATCTAGTCCTGAGAACTTTGAAGATTGTCGGTCACAAAAACAAAGATTACTTGTTTCTTTGTTCGGCCACTACAGAAAAACGAATTGCCTTTGGTCATTGATGTTGCCAAAATGTCAATAGGGTGCACAGTAATGCAATGGAATGTTGCTCCCTATCAAAACTTGTGTTGATGTTAATAAAGTAATGTTGGAAACCAACAATGTTAATTAGCTCAATTTGAATCACTCCACATCAATGAAAAAAGGCCCAAGGGAGGATGCAAAAACCTCCACAGAAAATGGGAAACAGCCCTCAAAAGACCAAAATAGACCAGAAAGAAACCTCCATTCATTGTCAGGACAATGCAGAAACATGAAGCAATCAACCTACAGCTTGACTTTCTCATTTCCCCCCTTTCTTTTTAGGCAACAGAATAAATTAGGTGGTAAATTTTGTGAGTAGAAACATTTCAATCAAATGAATTCTGAAAGAAAAAAAAAAAAAAAATTCAATTCCCCTTTGCATCAATACTAAGTAGGAATATGAAAATGACAAAAGTCCATGCAGTTTCCTCCAAACTTCAATGAATGTGGAATTCTTCTCTAAACGATAAAGGATTAAAGTGAAATTTGAACAAAAGTTTGAAGGTTAAAAATATAATTTATTATAAAATTTAACAAAAGCTAATTTGGATATTTCTTATCTGTTACCTCTCTCTTCTTCTTCTTCTTCTCTATAGACACGGCTGAGTAAGGAATTTGAAAAATTCACAATTTGAACCGGTCCAGTCCAATCCTGTTGGTTTGGATTGGTTTTTTGAATCTCTGGTTTGGTTCTAAATTGGAAAATTAGGAATCTATTCTCTGCAGATTGATTCCGAATTAGAGTTCACGGTTCCAGATTGGAACTAATCTAGACTGTATGTAACTTAAATCATATAAAAAAGGGAGTAAGACTGCTTCATGTGTTAAATATAGCCACTGTAAAGCTTCTTGTGCTTGGGTTAGTACAAATGGAGCTAGTACATTGAGAAAACATTTTGCAAACTATCCTAAGTCTCCTCAAAATCAAGAGAAGAAAAGACAAAATATTTGTTTAATGAGAGTTTTATACTTGCTACATGTTGAACAATATGTTTATGTACTAGATAATATATTTGTTTACGTTAATTGTGAAACAATATGCATATTTATGTGATTTTTCTTTGTGAACATATTATATGAAACTGTGGTTCCAAACCTAGCTGAATCGTATTTAAATGGTTTGGTTCGGATTGGTTTGGTTCCAATTTTTATGGAATCATAGACAATGGATTGGTCCTATTTTCATCGCAAACCAATCCAAACCGGAACATGTTCACCCCTATAAAATAACAGTTCATATTATCAAATAAGACTTAAAATAGGCTTCATCGATCGAACCATTCACTCGAGTAGAACATGCTTGCAAAAAAAGAAGAAAGGCCAAATTACACTTTACTCCTCTCAACTATCACCATTTTTCATTTTACCCCATTAAACTAAAAATTGATATAATGTACTCCCTTCATCTTTTAAAAGTTTTCAATGTGTATGTAATATGCACATGGCATATCTATGACGAAAATAAACTTTTAAAAAATCTGTTATAAATATGATATGCACACATTATATGCACATTGTCTATCAATTTTGTTATTAGAATGGAGACATAAGAGTTTGATTGAAAGTTTTTTAAAAAATGAAGAATATACGTTGTATTAATTTTTAATTTAAGAGAATAAAGTAAAAAACGATAATGGTTAAAGACGGTAAAATATAATTTGTCCAAGAAGAAATCGTGCGGCAAACTTAGAGTAAAAACATTTCGGGTGATGATTGAGACCCCCTCTAATCACCACCCCCACCATTCCCACCATCCCCACACACACGTGGAAGGCAGTGATTGGAGGAGAAGGAAAAAAAAAAAAAAAATGACCAATCAGATGAAGAAGGAATAAGGGGTGAAAAAAAAAGGAGTCCGAGTGATTATTGAAACATTTCACCCAAAAAAAATCCAATCAAATATGATAAAAGTGCATCCCCACTGCATCAAAGTCAAATGCAACTTGGAAAAATGAAACCCAATGTAGTTTCCTCGAAACTCCAATAGAAGTGCATCCCCATTGCATCAAAAGTCAGATGCAACTTGGAAAAATGAAACCCAATGTAGTTTCTTTCAAACTTCAAATATCATGGAATTTAACTGTAAAGATATCTCATTATCCTATGTTTCCTCCTATTTTGAGAATTCTTTTAGGCAGTGCCTAAGCATTTTCAAATTTAATATAGCACAATTGATGTGATTTAAAAAATATATATATATTAAATATATATTAAAAATAAATTATATAAAATTTATTTAATTCTGACTGAATTTATGACTACTATATAAGTATCAATATATATTATTATAAACTTACCACCATCACCATTACTACCACTACCACTAATCAATATATATTATTATAAACTCACTGCCATCACCATTACTACCACTACCACTACCACTACCACTACCACTACCACTACTATCGTTATCGCTACCACCACCACCACCACCACCACCATCACCATCACAACATAAAAATTAAAATATACAATTTCAAATTTAATCTTATACATATTAAATAACTTATTTTTAATTCAGCACTTAAATTTTTACCAACCAGCTTTTCAGCTTAAAAAATTCAACATTCAATTTTCAATACTTAATTTTTTCAATACTCAAGATTAGTGATAATTTAGCGCGATTAGTGGACTTAATCAAGATTAATTAAGGTGGTGTTTGATATTAAAAAAATAAATACATTAAAGTGGTGTTTGATAAAGCTGAAAACTGAACATTGAAAATTAAGTCCACAAAAATGTCAAGCACATTAGACTAAAGCTATTAAGCACATCGATTAGAAAGATATAAACATGTATGAATGTATCAATAGTATAGAGTCTTTGAAATTCACATTAATTCTTTTTCTGTTTCGTATCAATAACACATATAGGAACTCAAAACTACAAACATAGCATAGCAAAGCATATAAGTGTATTTTATTCGAATAACAAGTACTTCTAAGTCATGCCAAAAGATTATCAAAGCATACCTTTAAGTGTTTCATATATCAAAGAAGGCAAATTTAACTCTAGGCATTCCAAAAAAAAAATGAGAGATATGTACATGTTATGCAATAGAAACATCTGGGTGTTACATCATGATGTGAAAAAGGGAGGAAAATGTTCCACAATTGGTGTTGCATGTTTTAGAGGGTAGAGGAGATTGTCAACCACCACTTGCTAAATTCTGAGGTTCCTAGAGAAGATTGGAGTCCATTGGGTTATGCTTGTTACTTTTCTTCAATCTTGGGTTATGTGGTTGTTGGCTCAATGACGTGTTTGAAATAATCCAAGCTTGGATGGTACTGCTGTTTGTCTCATGTGTTATAATTGGAGTGAGGGAGGAAGAGGCAAACTTTTGAAGATCTATAGATGCAGGTTTGTAGGTTAAAGACAACAATACTTAAAGCTTGTCAGTTTGGATCACTAGAGAATTTTCTGTCTCTTTAATCTTTACGTTTCTTTTCTAGATTTTATAGGAGTTGAATTTTTTGGAGTGTAGTGGCTTGGTGGTTATAGGCTTACTCCTAAGTGGTTTAGTGTACTAGAGGTCACGGGGTTTGACTCTCACTGGTGGTCATTCGGGGTGAGAGACTCGTTGAATTAAGGGGCAAGTGAGGGAAATCGCCCCCATTGAATTTTTGACTTTTTAATAATTTAAAAATGGTTTCAATTTGGCCCCTTTAAGATTTTTGTTTTGTTTTGTTTTTTGCTTATGAATGTTCATTTTTTCCAATAAAATTCTTTGCAATTGCTTGTTTATTACTTTGATTGGAAGGTATTTTTTTTATCGAGTAATGATATTCACATTTCACTTTAAGCCTCTCACACTCTCGTTGTTGTGAAAGTTTATGAGGAAAAGAGAAACTGTACATTCAATTGTGTCAAAAACAGAAGAATTACATTAGTATTTATAAATTATAGCCTAGGCTAACCCTAAAACAAAAAAAGGAAATAATCCCTAAAATAATAATAGTTAGAAGGTATGCTGAAGAGCGGATGAAGTTTCATTTACGTGAGGTGGTTGTGGAGAAGCGAGTTGAATTGGCTGACAGACGTGAAACCAGCTCTGCTCTAACTCAACCACAACTGTATGGAAGAGAAGAAGATAAAGAAAAAATTGTCAAAATGTTGGTTGAGAATATATGTGATTGCCAGGATGTTTCTGTCTACCCTATAATTGGCATGGGGGGGCTAGGAAAGACCACGCTTGCCCAAATGGTCTTCAACGATGAGAGGGTAGAGTGCCACTTTGAGCTTAAAATTTGGGTTTATGTTTCTCAGGATTTTGATGTGAAAAGGGTGATAAAAGCAATAATCGAATCCGTATCTGGGAGAACCTGTGACGCCTCAAACCTAGATTCTTTGCAGAAAAAGCTTCGAGAGATGCTAAATGGGAAAAGATATTTGCTTGTATTAGATGATGTGTGGGACGACGATCAAGACAAGTGGGATGAGCTAAAGAATTCACTAGCATGTGGATCAAAAGGTGCTTCCATTATTGTTACTACTCGTGTTGCAAAGGTAGCATCAATCAGGCGAACTGTTCCAGCACATCACTTGCCATTTTTATCTGAAGAAGATTGCTGGTTGTTGTTCAAACAACGGGCATTTGGACACGGGAATGAAGAGCGTCCAAACCTTGTGGCCATTGGGAAGGAGATAGTGAAGAAGTGTGGGGGTGTGCCTTTAGCTGCAAAGGCCCTTGGAGGGCTATTGCGCTTCAAAAGTGAGGAAAGAGATTGGCATTCTGTTCAAGAAAGTGAAATTTGGAATTTACCCCAAGACAAAAATCCCATCTTGCCTCTCTTAAGATTAAGTTACTATAACCTTCCATTGGAATTGAGACGGTGTTTTGCTTACTGTGCCATTTTTCTAAAAGGTTCTGAAATTGAAAAGGAGAAACTTATTCATCTTTGGATGGCTAATGGCTTTATTTCATCCAACGGAAAATCGGAGTTAGAAGATATTGGTAATGGTATATGGAATGAGTTATGTTGGAGATCTTTTTTCCAAGATGTGGACAAAGATCCATCTGGCAACATTATTTTCAAAATTCATGATCTTATGCACGATCTTGCCCAATCCGTTATGGAAGATGAATGTCATATGATGGAGGCTGAAAGCTCAAAGAATATATCAGCGCAAAGAATTCATCATGTTACACTGGTTGCTGACTACCCGCACGCAGCTGCCTTTCCTAAAGCATTATATAGAGTTGAATCCTTACATACAATTCTTCTACAACGTAGACAGAAAAACACTTACTCTGATAGGGTATTTCCTTTTTCTTGTGACTTCACAAATTTTGGTTCTTTACGAGTGTTCGATGCATTGGGCACCAACGTGGGGCAGTTGTCATCTTCAATTGGTAAGTTAAAACATTTAGGGTACTTGAACCTTTCTAGAACTCCCATTCGTACACTACCAAAGTCAATTTGTAGCCTTCACAATTTGCAGACTTTAAACCTGAATGAGTGTTATAATCTTCAGAGGCTGCCCAAGAACATGAAATCCCTAAGAAGCCTCCGACATCTTTATTTGGAAGGTTGTCACAAAATACAGGACATGCCTCCAAAGCTTGGGCATTTAACTCTCCTGAGGACATTAAGTTTATTTGTCGTGGGTGAGAGTAGAGGTCATCGGGTAGTTGAATTGCAATGCTTAGATCTTGGGGGAGAACTGTGTATCCGTCACCTTGAGAGAGTGAGAAACTCAACGGATGCCAAAGAAGCCAATTTGGTCGGAAAACAGAACCTCCAAATCTTGAAGTTATCATGGGAATATAACAGTGAATCAGAATCGCAAGTAAATGTTGAACAACTACTTGAATCCCTGGAACCTCACCCAAATGTTGAAGAGTTGTTCATAGACAATTACAGAGGTGCCCACTTCCCACCTTGGATGGGGGATTCAATTTTTAAAAACGTAGTTTCTATTGAGCTACGTAGCTGCACAAACTGTTTAGTACTTCCAGCGTTTGGACAGTTGCCTTCCCTGCGACGGCTTGAGATTTCCAAAATGGATTATGTGGAATACATTGACAATTACTTCCCTGGCGGAAGCCCAGTTAGAGGATTTCCGGCTTTGGAAGTACTCCATATTTCTAAGTTGCCAAATTTGGTAGGGTTGTCAAGGGAGGAAGGAAGAGAGCTACTCCCTTGTCTTCACGAGATAATCATCCACACTTGCCCAAAATTGACCTTGCCGCGTCTTTCATCACCAAAACTCTTGAATGTTGCGAGTTCCAGCAACGTGGTACTAAGTTCAATCTCAAATCTTAATCATCTCACTACCCTTTCAGTTTATGGCGGGGACATGATTTCTTTCCCAGAAGAGATGTTGCAAAACCTAATTGTTCTTGAATCATTGAGTATCTGGGGTTGTCATGAGATTGAGTCTTTGCCAGATCATGGGTTACGAAGCCTAAAGTCTCTCAAACGTCTGACGATTGACCACTGCTATAAATTGAGTTATTTATCTGAGAGTTTGGGACACCTCACTGCCTTGGAGGAATTGAATGTTAGTGGGTGTCCCAAGCTAGTGACTTTGCCAGACAGCATTAAACATCTTGTTTCTCTTCGACACCTAGATATTGGTGATAGTGAGTTGAAGACTTTACCTGAAGCATTGAAACATGTCCCTGCACTTCAATCGTTGGAGATTTCTTGCCTAAAGCTCACATCACTGCCTGAATGGTTGGGAAACCTTACGTCACTTCAATCGTTGTACATTTTTGGCTGGCACAAGATTCCATCACTTCCACATGGCTTTGAAAGGCTAACCAACCTCCAAACTTTGACCATTATGGGATGCGCTCCTGAATTGGCAAGGCGATGTCAAAAGGAAAAGGGGGAGGATTGGTATAAGATAGCACATATTCCAAAAATCAATCTGTAAGTGCCTTTTTTTTGGTTTTTTTTTTCCTAAAGATTTGTAAATGTTTGAGTTATTCATAAAGAACAATTGCTTTACTTTAAAAGGTCATATTATTGTTCAGTAAGTATATTATATGTTTGTATACTCACCAAAACAGGGCTTAGTTCACTAGTCTGCAACAAATAAAACAAGAAAGTCGATCTAATCTGATCGAAATCCGAACTCGAACTGATCTGATCTCTCTCGCATGTTGTTAGATCTGCTGATTAACAAGGTTTCAAGCAAGTCGTTTTTATTTTGTTTTTCATTAACAAGTGTTAATCGGTGTTTGATTTCTTTGTAGGTGGAACTTGTAAAGGAAGAGATAGAGAAGAAGGATTCGAGTACGGAGGAGTGGAAGATCGTGATGGAGAGAAGCTTCAATCGCATGGACAATGAGGTGATTGCATGGAACGACAGCGTTCTGCGCGCCGATTGTCGATGCGAGCTCCAAACGCCGGAGTGCAACACAGATGGATCAACGGCGGTTGTCGCAGTCGTGACTCCCGATAAGATCATCACCGCCATCGCATAGGAGCACCACCGTCGATCCACCATTGGAGCATTACCCCGGGTATGTCCTCTCTATTTCACCCTCTCTCTGTCTTCTTCCATTCGCATACCTTCACCGTCAATAACCACCATCAGCCCCCTTTTCTCTTCTACCCTCGCTTCTCTCCCTCTCTCTCTCTCTCTCTCTCTAAATATATATATATATATATAGCTATATAATTGTTATATGAATTTGGCTATGGTAAGAGTGTGCGGATAACCCGTTCGATAAAATTCCGAAATGGGTTTCGAATTAGAGAAATCATGATAGTCTGTTGGATGAACTGGGTTTGGACTGATTAGGGGTGTGCATAATATCGCCGAAACCGCCGAAACCGCTAAAACCGCACCGAACCGCACCGCCAAGGCAAATTCGTTATTATTTGCCAATCGAACCGCTGGTTTTTGGTAAGAAAAATGGCAAATTCTAGTGACATTTTTATCAATTCGCCGGTTTCTATTTTTCTTCCAAACTGCACCGACCCGCACCGCTATTAAATCATGTTTTATAAGATTCTAAAAAAATTTTTTTACTTAAGTTTGCTTGTTGTTCTATACCTTAGAATATAGTATTACATTACTGCTCGAGGGGAATTCAAGATGTCAGTAATCCAAAATAAAGTTGGCTTCCAATTCACTTTTCAATCTTTTTTTTTTTTTTGGCCATGTTGCAAACTTGCATCAGCTCACTTTTCAATCTAAATACTTTTCAACAGTAAACATTTTCAATATATTGTAAATCCTGAATGATATTAATTTTATGTATTGTATTTGATCATTGTAGCTTCCACAGATGCTTGTAATGAATTGATGGCATAGTCGTTGATATTATCATGTTGTTGTTACACTTGCTGCATCAGAAGAAAGCTTCGCAAGATGCTTAACATCACGGTATCTCTCGTCTTTTTTTTACTCTTTGATTTAAGTTTTGTAATTTGAATTATATTTTTTATAAACCGCCAATCCGCCCGAACCGCCAAGGCAAATCCGCCATTATTTACCAACCGAACCCCCGGTTTTTGATAAGAAAAATAGCAAATTCTAGTGACACTTTTATCAATCCGCCACCCGCCATACGGTTTCTATTTTTCTCTCAAACCGCACCGACCCGCACCGCGCACACCCCTAGGACTGATTGTCTTTTGATCATATAAAAAGATGTTGGAAATAAGAAGAATTCAAGGAATGTTACTCTATATTAGTGGTATGAGTTTATTGCTTTATAGTTCTGTTTAGCTTAGGGTGGACAAATTAGGTGGATATAAATCATACTCATATTGCTGGTTATTTTTTAGGTTTTCTTTGAGCTTCTATTAGTTGTTAGAAAAAGAGTAAGAGACAGATGTAGAGTTTTGCTTTGAATTTGACTTATTTTACATGTGTGTGAGTTTTGTAATGGTGGTGATTGAGGTGTTCTGTTGGTTGTGGAACTTGGGGGACATACAGTTATATTGTGGGGGTGTGAGATCATCGATGTTATTGTTTAATATTATTCAATAAGTTAATTACATTTCTAATTTTACTCTTAAAATTGTGCCTAATTACAAAGAAATAAAAAAATTACAAGTTTTATTTTCTCTTTTTGTTATGCCCGCAATTACTATTGATTGCTTATGCTTCCTTTATCCAAAACCCACATGTTGCCAAGTATGTATCCCGCATATCATGATAGGATTATTGTAACTATTTACTTAATCTGTTAATGGTTTGAATGGAAGGAAATCAGAACTAATTCATGAAAAATTCTACAAGTATGTGGTTTAGTTTCACACTTGTGCATCCATTTCAATATGATTGACTACTTCTTTAGCTTTTATTGCTCTCATTGCCTCTCATAGTTTCATCAATAGTGCATAAATACCGATTTTTGAAGAACAACATAGTTGCTAAACGGTAACCATGTCGTGATCAGCATGTCAAACCTTCAGCTAATTCATATACTAGCAGCACAAATTGATGTAACAAATTATTTGAAGAAGATAAATCATTTGTTTTTCTAACGTGATTATATTTGAACAACATTAACCATTTATTGTTTTGAACCTGAGATGTCTAAGATTGTCTATTCAAATGGGTTTTGCTTTAAAATGGCCTTACAAGCATAAAATGCCTAAAGATTACTTCGTGCTGATTGTATGAATTTGTGGTTGCCCATGACAGGGATGAAATTAACGAGATTGAGCGCATTGAGTCCTCCATGATTCGGAGATTATGTTTCTTTCTTTATTTATTTATGTTCATCTTTATGGATTTGTGATTTCTTTTTTGGTGTTGTTGAAGGTTATATGTTTGTTTTTATGATAGCAGGTGCTGCTAGGCTTTTGGGTCACAATGACAGTAGCATGACAGCTGCAAGTTTTGAAGTGGTTGTAGCATTGGATACATTGCTGGCGGGGAATATATTGGGCTGCTTATTATAGGTCTGAGGTTGGGTAACAGGAGGTGGTTTCATTCAGCTGTTCTGTTCTCAGACTTCCTTTGTGTTAATTTCTCTTCTGCGAAATGAAGATTAAATGCAGGTCTTATTGGGCTATGTGTAATAATATTAGTGTGTGATGGACACTGGGTGCTCTAGCCTTCTGAGGTTAGAGGGTTAGAGCCTCCTATCATGCCCACTATTTTTTTAAGCGATGATTTGAAGTTCAATTTCTGTTATAATTTTATATTCTTTCACTAGTGTTATGTAGTGTTTGTATTTTGTGTTGATTATTGGAGTTTACTCTTGAATTTTAATTCTGAGGAATACCCAGCTAGATGTTATGATGAAGATAGATGATATTAGTGCATGGATAAATTGGGAGACTAAACAAATGCACTAGTTAAAAACTAATAATTTTGGTATGAATTTTAGCAGAACTCCTGTGTTTGCCGAACAAAATTAAAAATGTGCAAACCACTCCATCAGCTGATCAAGTCAAAATGCTACAAAACTTATCCATTCCGATAACATAAATAAATCCAGTAAAGTGAAAAGCATTGCAAAGGTACAAAAAGGACCTAATCCACACCAAATAATTGTCCACACAACCTTGGTTTAATCATCAATTAATTAGAAGAGCCTAAAAACAGACACAATTGATCAATGAAATGACCTGTTTGCAAATTATGATGAAGAAATATTTGCAAACTTGCCATATTTTTCTGAATGATACTAGATAATGAAGGAGATACAAGCTAATTTTAAGAAATTGAGCCCTTTCTTGGGATGGACAAAAGTTGGTAACCATCACTAATATAGCCATTCGAGCTTTAGCCCTTTGTGTGTCAACATGAATTTATGAGATCGCCTTCAATTTAACGATCTGAATATAAATATACAAAGTCTGGACCTTGATTTAATCAAATTCATGTATCAAATTGCATTGCAGATTTGGTAGATTACTCATATCACATTCATCATCAATTTAATCAATCAATCCTGTGGTCTGAGAGGGAGAGGTTTCTGATTGTTGGGATAGACCTGCTCATGTAGGCCCATAAATGGGTCAGAATTTTGTCAACACCGACTCAACTCCTTTATTTTTTCATGTTCTCTTAGTACTCATTTGGGAAGTGATTTTTTTTTCAGTAATTTTTGATAAAAATATGAGAAAAAAATTAATACATTTGGAAAAGATTGTTTGAATTCTTATAAAAAAAAAACACATGCAAAAAGTAAACGAGAATAGATCTTTTTTACTTTTCTGTATTAGTTGAATTTTTTTTTTAAAAAAATTGTAATAATTTTTTGACTAAAATATTTTGTAATATTTTGTTTCACTTTGGGTTTGTATAGTGCTAACATGTTATATTATTTTTTAATGAATCAGTGTGGTGTTGCTACCAAGGTAAACAAAAAAATTGAGTTATCACTCTTTATGATTATCTTAACACTGCTTTTTGTAACGTGTTTTTATGGTATACAAAAATTTATACTTTTATAGTGAAAAAAGTGGTCATTTTATGGTTTACATTTTGAAATAGTACTGCTATTAGCACCTTAGTTAATAATTTGGAACTCTTATTTCTTTTAGAATGTTGTTGTTAGCTTTAGTACCCTATTTATTATTTTAAACCTCCTATTTTCTGACATTTTTTTTATTACAATAATAACCTTAAATGAAATTACTAAAGAGCGTATCAATAATTTTAGAACACTCAATCTCACAATTAAGCCAACACACCCACTAAATAATAAGATAGAGTTTATGAAAGCACCCACCTCCATCACCACTCATCCATCTTTTCCAAATTCTATCCTCAAAACCTATCCACTCTTAAAACTTTGAGAACCCTCTAGTGGCAATGGTGACAATCATTCAATTATACACACTTCTTCGGCAACGGCAATGAGTAAAAGTTTTTCCGACAATCACAATTTCATGAGACAAGAAGAGTACAACAACGTAAATTTAGAAAATGTTAATGGCTTTGATGTTGTTCTTAGCTTGGAGGAGGTAGGCATTGTAAGGGTAAGTTTTTTGAAAAACACAACAAAAATAGTGAAAACTGTTTGTATTTTTTTTAGTATTGAACTCCTAAATATGTAACCAAACTTTGGGAACATAACCCTGAACATTGCTTATTTGTTCACAAATCCGAACATGGAAATTTGATACGCTTTGAAGGGTTAAAATTGTTCACAGATGTAGGAGTTTTTGTTTTCTAATCTATGAGAGAGAGAGAGAGAGAGAGAAGAATTAGGGAAGAGTGTAACGTACATTCTCAGTGAAAGAGAGAAGAGAGAGACTTCGGGAGCTGGGGGATGAGCGAGATTGAGACTGAGCAAAATGCAGACTTGCTCCGTTTGAACTCTAAATACACACACACACACACACACACACACACATATATATATATATATATATTGATTTTAGGGTTTAGAGTTGATCAAAGAAATTGATAGAATTGAAGGAGGATATATGCACCTAATGCGAAGAAAAAAAATGAAGATCATAGAGAACAAGTTCCTTACACCAATTGATTAACTTGAGAAATGTTTTTCTTCCACCATCGTGAGAGAGAATGGGTTTTGGGAAGTTTTTTTGTTAGAGTTTTGGGAGATAATGATTTTTAGGGGTGTGGGGGTGCGCATTTGAGTGGAGTTGAAATTTTCATAAGGATAATTTTGAAATTATTTGGGCAGAGCAAAGAAATTTTAAGGGTTTTAAAATTAACAAGTAGGGGTTCTGGAGGGTCCAAAATAATAAAGGGGGTGTTAATAGAAACACTTTTCTTTTTATTTATTTTTATTACAATAATAACCTTAAATGAAATTACTAAAAAGAACATGAATTATTTTGGAACACCCATCTCACAATTAAATCCACCAACCCACTAAATTATAATATAGGGTTTATGAGAACACCCACCTCCATTACCTACCACACACTTCAAAACCCTCAAAACCTATGCACCCTCAAAACTTTCAAAACCTCCAGCGGCCAGGCTTTCGATGGAAACGGTGACAACTATTCGACAATGCACACTTCTTCGACAATAGCAATGAGTGAAAGTTTTTTAGGTGACCCAAATACCATGAGATGAGTGGAGCATCACAATGTAAGCTCAAAGGAGGTTTACAACTCGGATGTTGTTTGCAACTCGGAGAAGGTCGACCTTGTAATGATAAGTTCTTTCAAAAACACACCCAAACAAAATGGTGAAAATAGTTTGACTTTTTTCAATGTTGAATTAAAGACATTAGTTCAGCAATGTCTAGCCAAACACTATTTATATGTTTGGCACTTTGGATCCGAATGTTTTTTAGGGGGACTTACGTGTAAGTCCTAATAGGTGGACTTATTGTCCAATAAGTTATGTGATTATTAATGGCGTTTTTCATCAAATACTATTGAAAAAACGTCACTAATTTTTAATTTTGAAAAACAGTTTGAAAGTTTTATCACAAAAAATTACTAGTTATAAGTTTTAATGACAATTTAAAAAATTGTCACAAAAAGTCACTAATTTTCAACTTTCAAAGATAGTTTAAAAAATTCGTCATAGAAAAACGTCACTAATTGTAAGTTTTAGTGACAATTTATAAAAGTCGTGACAAAAAAAAAAGTCATTAATTGTCAATTTTTAGTGACATATGCAAAAAATTGTCACAAAAAGTTTTTAGCAACGATTTTATTATGATTTCAATAGGATTTTATGGGAATTAAGTCCAACCATTAAAATCTATTGGTAGTTTGTCCTTTTTTTTATTCATATGTTCAATACTTTTAACCTTAATACATACTTATGTCTTGGAAATGTGGTAAACTTTAGTTTTAAATTTGTGAATCAAACTAGGTCATGCATACTTATCTTTATTTGTTAAATTTGATGGGTCAAACTTGTTCACAGGCACAAGATTTTACGATTCTATAATGTTGGGTAACACAAGTTTGAACATGTACAAATTGTTCAGTAATGCATGTCCAAACATGGGTAATTTGTTCAGCAACACAGATCTGAACATGGCGGCAGAGAAATCGACGGCAAAGAGATCGACGACGAAGAAAGGTCAATGGTAAGAGATTGGCTATGATAGGGATCGACGGCAGAGCTCTCTTGACGGTGAGAGGAAGATTGGAGAATTGATCAACTGTTAAGGGTTTTGGGAGATGAAGAATTTTTAAGGGGTATGCTAAAGGTTGTGTATTTTGGTGGGTGTGATATTTTTACAAGAATAATTTTTGGTATTATTTGAGGTGTTTTAGAAATTTTTAAGATTTTGAATTTTATAGGTAGTGGTTCAAAGAAACGAGAGGTCCAAAGTATTAATTGAGGTACTAATAGCAATACTTCATATCATTATATATAATTTTTTTGTTTATATAGAATTACTATTGATAAACTTTATAATTTTTTTTTTTTTTAGAGCATGAAAAATGGTTATATTAAAATAAAAGCAATAAGACCTAAAAGGCCAAACAAACAACAAAACAATAACTACAAACAACAACAAAAAAAAATAACAAAATAAAAAACAATCTGCCAAAAGCCATTAAACATTAACTTATAACTTTTTCCAATGACTATTCAAATATTTTTTGAAAAATCCAATGATAAGTTATTTCTCATAAAAAATAACAAGGGGAAATTATAAATTAGCAATTTTTTTGAAATCTTTCCACCGATTTATAATTTTTCCAAATAACAAAGGGGAAATAATTGAACAGTGTAGCAGTGATTTTTTTTTTTTTGAAATAATGATTAAATTTATAAATTTTAATTACTAAAAATATAACTTTTTCATGGTAAGTAATTATTTTTGTAGAGCACGTCTATTTGTAATTTTCCCCAATAACAATGCTCAAAAGCTGTGTTCCAAGAAACGGGTGAACTTTGAAATGCTCCGTTGTTGATTTGCATTGTCAATACGAGGGCTTGTATGTATGGATCATAACAATTGTAAGTATACTCTCCAACTTTGCTCTCATTCTCAAAACCCCTAAAGCTAGGGCTTGTATAATCTCTATTCCAAAATTACTATATCGTCTGACATTGTTCTTCCTCTGAGAACAATGTCAGACTACCTACCCAATGAACTTATAATTGAAATTCTTGCAAGACTACCTATAGATTCTATACTTCAATTCACATTTGTCTGCAAATCATTGTACACTCTCATCACAAACCCTAGTTTCATCACCAAACACCTCAACCAATCAAACCATCATAGGAAAAGAAACAATGACAATAAAAAGCACTATCTCTTGTGCCCTGATAATG